CCTCTACAGGCCACCTGCGAAGTTTTGTGGCGTCCAGGCGCGGAAAGACGTCATACCAGGCTGTGGCCTACATCTAGGGCCCCCACGCCGGATGAGATGCGTGGCCATAGATTACTCACAGGAGTTACTGGTCGTCAGCACCATTGAGCAGCGCGAGTGAGTGCTGTACATGAAAGATCATGACGTTGCTAGACAAAGTGTTCTGACACGATCTCGTGGCAGCTGCCCCAAGTGCACCCTCCTCTGGCTGAAGGACCTCTCCAGTCCTCATCCTGATGCAGCAGAGTGCATTCTGCACGCTGACACTCCATCATACTGGGTCGTGGATAGCTCAGTTCAAGTGTTTGATGAGCTACTCGCTTTCAGCATACACTCGAGAAATGGCTCGGAGATACTCGTCTGGAACTGGAAGACTGGCGTGTTGATCTGGGTGAGTCTACCACCTCCTCTTCGTCACTGATCTCTTCCTGAAGAATGCGCATGACGCATAGCATTACGACGGCAGGAGTAGGTTGCGCTGCTGGCTGATGTCAACGTCCTTTCTCCTCGTAGTAGAGTGGACCTGCCTCAAGCTGTACAACCTGGATCCACGGCGGTCCCGAGGCGCGCCTCTTGCCTCACTGAAGCGCTTCGTCTGTCAGCTCGAGTTGCCCCCCCTCAAGCAGGCTGCGTACGCCTTGTCCGTATCCGACTCGTTGTGTTTCCCTGCTTCCTTTCCTGATCGCCACGTGATGTTTCAGCAAGACTCCAGTCTTACCGTGCTTTCTCTGGACTTCCTCTTAATCAATAGGCGGCCGATCAAAGAGTGGGACGGAAACCAATATGTACTCCGAAACGACATCGAGCGGTATGTTCTGCTCATCCCCGTCGGCACCATACTGGGGGAATGCATTCGCCTTGGTGCTCGCGCAACACCGTCCGTCGTCCCGTGGAACGATTGGGGTCCGTCCGGGACGCGAATGCTAGAGCTACCCCAGGGGATCACTTCCGAGGCGCTGGATGATTTCCCGGATCGGGACGTGTTCGACACGATGGGTGCCAAGCTGTGCTTCAAACTGACTACGAAAGACGGGCTGAAGTCCGTGACGGTGGTGGAAGCATGCCACATCGGGAGCGGCATCACAACTGAGGACAAGAGACCGCCTGAAGCGAAGAACACGATCGACATTTCTGGAGCTGTGCTCCGGTCACGCTGCTGGAGGAACCCAGTACGTACATACTACCCGACTCGAGCGACGCACACGTACATTGCTGCTCGCGATGTCGCACCCGGTTCCAAGTTATACCTGTCCCATGACGGTTTGATGTTGACAGTGAGTTGTCGATATCCTCTTCGGAACAAATCTTCCTCATATGCTCACTATTACCAGACGGTGCAGTGATTGCTATTGGTCGCGGACCCATGGTTGTCCCCTGGATCACTGGGATATCATTACGATAGCTCGCTTGATGTTTTGGTAATGCACGACAAGCTTGTGGCCCATACGTGATGAATATGCACGTAGTACTTCAAGGTCCGCCGACGCAGGTCGGCAGCTCTACCACCAGGCGTCCTCAACCTTCTTCCGTTCCAGGTTGCGTGCGGTGGACTCGATATTGATTTGCCAGACATTCAGATATGCCACTACAGGGTATACCAATTTGGTAGTACCATACTGGACACAACCACGGACACATACATCCTCGACGGAGTCGCACGTCAGGCCTTCAGGCAGGACTCATCTCGTCTGGCCAACAAACGACTTTCCCATATGTGATCAGCGGCCCGACTCGCTCTGAGACTCGTCATGCACTGGCACAGCCTCCGCCCAGCATCCCGCACCACCTTCGATCCGCTCAATCCACTGTCTACGCATCTGATCAGCGTAGTCCTGGTAAGGAAGGTCTCGGAGCTCTTCCAGAAGGATGCACTTGACCGTCGTGTCGCGACAAAGCGTCTCGAGGTGCGCCAGGCTGCGCTTCAGCGCTACACGCGCCCTGGCCATGTTTCCGCACCCGCCTCTCTTGGGCTTCGCGCCAGCTTGCACTACGATATACTGCAGGTTCGGGTACGGCGACGCTGGAGATGGACCGGAGGATGGCATGGATAACCTGGTGTGAGCAGGGTCAGGCACCGCCAGTGATGGGAGCTCGATAGGGTCACGGAGCGCCATCGGTAGTCCAGTGACAAATGCGAGTTCCTGGACGTTCTGAAGGTGAGGTACGCCTGATACGCGGACGTGGCTGATGCGAGGGGCCATACTGAACCAGGATGAGAGGGACAGCGCGTGTGCGCGGGACGCAGGCAGAAGATGGAGGCGCGTCATCGCGGGAAAGCAGCGAAGGGAGCTGTCGACGATGTCCTTCATGATTAGCTGCTTTGGGTCGCAGCGCCCATGCACGGTCAGTTCGCGCAGGAGAGGGAATGGGCCGCCGAGGAGAGCGGTATTGGGGTACATAGGTCGTTCATAGGTTGCCAGCCAGTGTATTGCCAGAGACCATAGGTCTGGTGCAACGGTATGGATGAGGTTCCGAGCCGCATCGTGGGAGGGGGGATATGACTCGCGACCGCGCGCGTGGGGTTTGAGCTCGACAGGTCGGTGGTCGTGCTATCCGCTGCTGACGGGACTGAGGTCCCTGCGCAAGCACCAAAAAATGATGATGGCAGCAGAGTTCTCGGGGCAGACTGCCGCCGAAGGGCCAGGACCGTCCTGATGTCGACGCACGGGAGCGTAAGAAGTAGGTGACGCACGCGCGGCTTCGACCTGCATCCGGACTCTGCCAGACGTACTTCGCGCGCATAGAGCGCGGCGAATGAGTCGAGGTGGGTCTCGTGGGCGGTCAGATGTAGGCTGTGGAAACGGCTTGGACGCGCGGCTGCACGTATGCATCTGGAAGTAAGGGAGAGCGCGTTTCCGGTGCGGCCGCCATCGGTGCATGCGAGCTCGAAGGTGCGACGTAGCAGTCCTAGCGGTAGTGTTTCCAGCGCACAGGAGTGTTCCGTATGCATGCTAGCGTTGAGATGAGACTGTGGGCAGTGAGGTGGCCTCTTGTACTGACCTCTGTAGCGTGATAAGCTCAATGTCAGGCGGTGCGCTCTGGTACGTAACGGCGGGGTCCTCTATGAAAGACGTGTCGGAGAGATGTTCTGACATCGACACGGGTGCCCTAGAAACGTCCCGCACCTGCTGCGACTCGGAATAAATGTGTTCAGGGGCGATTGAGCTATAGCGGACCGCGGTACAACTCTGCCAATGAACCGGCGCCGCGCTAGGACTCGCAGATTCACAGTACGCCAAGCTTCCACTTGCACGGCCTCGATCGGATGCGCTGCATTAATCGAGTCATATTAGTACAACAAACCAGCTGATAGATCAGATTGATGCCTTGTCTATCATGCGCAGTAAGGTTTTCGACATCAAGCCGCAGCGACTCCGGCGTAGCGTCTTTCGTCCTTCCCTGCGCGCCACGCTCGTATACTATTCCACAAGCAAGGACAGTCGAACTCTCTTGAAGCCTTCCGACTCGAACTCACCTCGTCCGACTGCCACTCTCGCCGTGATGGACTCCTTGCCGCAAGAGACACTCCGAGGCATCTTCGAGCTCGCCTGCACCGACGGCGGATACACAGGAAACTCCCTTTCACGCGTCTCGAAAGCGATCCGTGCGGCCTCTCGCATGGCACGCTTCCACTCCATCTCCCTCATCGCGAACCCGCGCCGCCTGGCATCGTTCCTAGCGCTGTACGAGCGCGAGTGCAACCTCGATCCGGCCGAGAGGCCGCGCGTCCGCCATCTCTTCGTCGCCTTCCCGAGGAGCGTGCAGGGCGACAGCTACGAGCGCAGGCGTCGACGTTCGCTCTCTCCGCCACTGGATTGGTATCGCTGGGCGGCAACGGTGTCGGCCCCTGGACATTCCGACCATGAAGACACGGTGTCTCCAACACCAGCATCGGAAGCTGCAATCCAGGATATCGCTCTACCAGCACATCCAGTGGAGGATATGGATGTCGAGGACTTGGAGGAGGAACTTGAATACTGGGATTGGTCCGGACCGATAAAACCACGTCCGGACCCCACCGCATCGCCGGCATACCTCGATGCGGCTCGCAAACTCTTCCGTCTTGTCACGCCGGATCTCCTGACGCTCGCGATACAGTCAGGGTTCACTTACGGAGGGAGACTCGAGTACGGCATCATCGAGGATCCATTCCCTATCCTGCGCGAAGTCACGTTCATCGACGTGAAGGCCCCCGAATTACTCTTCATCGACGAGGCCGCTGACAACGTTCCCAGTGCAAGTGCAAACGGGCCCCTCTTCCCCGCATTGACGCACCTACATTTCGTCACCGAGTACGGGGACGCTGACCTGCACCTCCCGCAGTGGTCGGCGCGAGCCCCGCGGGTCACCCATTTGCGTATTACGGGCGTGCATCAAGGGCATGTGCAACAGTTCGAATCCGCGCTAGGAGTCAAGGTCGACCCTTTTCGAGGATTGCGTGTGCACATACCTGGTGACTTCGAGCTGCCTCCACCATCCTTGCCTCCTCGAACGTACCCCTCCCTGCGCTACCTCATCATGCAGCCGCAACCGCTGCTGGCAGGTGGATTTTGCGGGAACCCGTTGATCGACTTTGAAAATATGTTGTGGGACTTGTGGGAGATTGTAGGGGGGTGCCGCGGTACGGAGCGGTACTAGTCGAAGCTCTGGAGAGCGTACGGGCTCGGAGCTATGCTGGCCTGGCTTACTGGGGATGGTTGGAGAGGGTCGAGGGTCGCGCGGGTTGTTGGGAACCATTAGACCGCGCTCGTCAATGAGTTGTACAATACCACAAGATGATTTCATGAAGCAGGAGTACTCGCTACAGGATGCATTCGATGTGGCTAGCAAGTGAGCAGGAGTGCGAAGCAAGCTCATGCCATGCCATCAAGCTCGTCTTCATGATGTTGCCCAGGAAGTGAGACCTAGAGCGCCAACACTAGACTGTACTGTATATAAGCTTGGAAGCCATATTACTTTGAGCCCCCGTTGTCTAATGGCTATGACGTCAGACTTCTACGTATGATTACGTAATTCATCTGGAGGCTGCGGGTTCGAGTCCCGCCGGGGGTAATCGGAAGCACTTTTCGTCTTTTGCTTTTCTTTTCGGGAAGATTCGGGACCGCGCTCGCGCTCCTTCTCGTTCGTCTCGTTGCAAGTGGACAAGCCGACTCTGTCGGACGTCCACAGCGGCTTCCGGTGGCTCCGAAGGAATAGGGATTCTCGTATGACGAAGCAACCCGGACACGATCTTAGCGACCGACGCATGGTCGCACGCCGCATCGTGTTCTGTGGAGTGCAAGGCTGGTTCTCGTCGCCAACTGGTGCCGCGAGCCGTTGAGGAGCGCTCCAGACCAGGCGTATAGTAACTCCTCGCAAGGCGCGCACGTCTTTTTGGCTGCAACGCAAAGCGAGACGACGCTCTTGCCTACGAACGCGAAACTCGTCGGACTCGTTGCAGCGCATTTGTAAGGCGGCGTTGAGTAAGCACACAACGCGAAAGGGGCCGCGCCAAGACCGGTGGGCGAACCGCGGACTGGGGGTTTCCAGATATGGCGGGATTGATGGATGACGTTGGGCAGATTTGGCCGATGACGTCGAGTCTGGATTGGTCGAGGGCGTTGTTCACCTAAATGCCGGCGCGCAGAGTCAGACCAACAACACGCACGGCACTCTTTTCTCCGGTCCTGGCAGTCCTGCTCAGCCAGGCCTCATATACCTCTCCGTCCTCCTCGCATCGCCCGCATACACTCACCTCTCTCAGCCACCACCATGGCCTCCATCAAGAAGGCGATCTCAAAGGTCGTCTCGCATACCCGCTCGGTCTCCAAGGCCAGCTCCCGTAATGCCCCGAACGGCAACTCCCATCCCCTCATGAACGGCAAGGCCGACCAGGCATCCGAGCCCCGTGTACAAATCGACGATACCAATGCAAAGGGCGAGACGGCCGCTATGCACCAGCAGTCGAAAGACGCGGTCAAAGACTTGCAGCGTCCCGGTAGCGCCGCTAGCGACCATCGGTCATTCACCGAGCAGAAGGACGAGCGCAGGTCCGAGCGCGAAGCGAAAGACGAGGAGGAGGCTCGTCAGCGGAAGGAGCGCATGAAGAAGGCGCACGACGAGGTGCGTTCCCGAGTGTATCTCGCCCTCCCGCGCTTTCGAGCCGTAGTCGCCTGCTGCGAAGTGATCGAGGCATGCGGCGCAACCGGCTCGGGCATGCGCATCACAGATTGTCATTCGTCTATGCGAACTGTATGCTGACCGCAAGTTGTAGGACCCTCTGCGAGACAATTGGGGAGATCTCCCGCTAAATATGTCGCAGACAAGGGCAGGTCAGTGGCTGTTGGCCCCTGCTGCGGTCTCTCTCACTCATGACTCGCTCTAGAACGCCTATACGACAATGTGCGTGACATTCCCAACAAGAACGAGGGAGATGTCGTCACTTTCCGCGCACGCGTCCACCATATCCGCCCACTAGGTATGGAGCCAGTGTAGCTGCTTTCGGACGACTTGCAATAACTGCGAATACGTACAGGATCCAAGATCGTCTTCCTCATTTTCCGGCACCAGTTCACTACCGTACAAGGCGTCTTGACTGAGGAGCCCGACAAGGTCTCCCAGGTAATGGTTCGATGGGCAGAAGGCATCGCTCGGGAGTCGATCGTACTCGTCGAGGGTGTCGTTCAAAGGCCACCTCCAGATCAACACGACGTCCATAGCACAAGTATACATCAATACGAGATCCGGATCCGTAAGGTGCGCTAGCAGCACGATTGCAACAAGACTCGACTACTCACTGTCGCGCTGCTTACCAGCTCCATGTGATTTCTGCGCCATCTACGACCCTTCCGTATCAAGTGGAAGACGTGTCGAGGCCGAAGGAGTATTACGAGAGGGTATGTATACCCCGATATTCTCTTCGCCGGTAGGCTGATGCATCCGAGTAGGACGACGCCCAATTCGCAAGGGTAGGCGAGCGCACCCGTCTCGATCATCGAGTCCTCGACCTACGGGTACGAGCAATGTTTCTTGTTTCCCGCGACAGATACTGACCGTACCGTGCCTAGTCACCTGCATCCCAAGCGATTTTCCGCATACATGCAGGCGTTTGCGACCTGTTCCGCTCCTTCCTGACGGAGCGCGGCTTCACCGAAATCCACTCTTCGAAACTGCAAGGCTCGTCGACGGAGTCGGGCGCAGCGGTGTTCAAGGTCGACTACTTCCGACGCCCTGCTTACCTTGCGCAGAGCCCGCAGCTCGCCAAGCAGATGTGTATCGCCGCGGACATGGAGAGGGTGTTCGAGATTGGACCAGTGTTCAGAGCCGAGAACTCCAATACCCATAGACATCTAACAGAGTTCACCGGCCTCGACCTGGAGATGGCCATCGACAGCCATTATCATGAAGTCGTGGACCTGCTCGACGACCTCTTCAAAGCCATCTTTAAGGGTCTGCAGTCGCGGTTCAGAGATGAAGTGCGTCTCCTCCTCCTGGCCCTCCGACCGGGTTATATACGACCTTGCGGGCTTCTGGAACATGCTGACATGTTTGCTTGGCTTTGAAATAGATCGAGACGGTGAAGAAGTTCTACCCACACGACGATGTCGTCATCCTTGACGAAACGCCTCGCCTGAAATTCTCTGAAGCCATCCGTTTGTTGAACGAGTCAGGGTACACCGACGATGATGGGCGCTCGCTATCCGAAACCGAAGACCTCAGCACGCGCGCGGAGCAGCGCCTCGGTCAGCTAGTCAAGGAGAAGTACGGCGCGGACTTTTACATCGTCGACAAGTTCCCCCTCGAGGTGCGGCCGTTCTACACGATGCCGGATCCAGACGACAACGTGAGTTTTCATCACCGCAACGATTTGACAACTGCCGACCGATGCGACATGTACAGCGATGGTCCAACTCGTACGACTTCTTCCTTCGTGGAGAAGAGATCCTCTCCGGAGGTCAGCGTATCCACTTCGCGCCGCTGCTAGAAGAGCGTATGAAGGAGGAAGGTATCGATCCGGAAACTATGCAAGAGTACGTCGACGGCTTCCGATGGGGTTGCCCGCCGGTGAGTCGCATGCTTCCCTCTTACTTCCGCCTTGTGTTGACGTTTCCTCAGCACGGCGGCGGAGGTGTTGGCCTCGAGCGTGTGGTTATGCTCTTCCTCAAGCTTGGCAACGTACGCTGGGCAAGTCTCTTCCCACGCGATCCTCGCAGCTTCATCAAGCGCGGACATGATCCCACTGAGGCGGCGTACATCGCTGCTAACTCCCTCATCCTCCATGGGCCCGAGTCAACGACCTTCCCGCCTGGAAAGAAGGCCGGTGATATGCCGCCCTTGGAGAATGTACGTGTCTTGAGACCTTCTACCCGCCGTAGGCTGCGATTCTGACGCACTGCCATTGTTCAGCTCATCGCCAAATACGGTGACGCAACGAACACCAGTTGGACGGATCCGGCTTGGACTGTCTGGCGCGACAAAGCCACCGGTGCAGCTGTCGGTTACATTCCGGAGAACGGATTCGCCGTCACGTTCGGAATTCCACTCTGCCCGCCAGAACAGGTCCCCCGCGTCGTCAAGGCATACCTTGCTCACCTGCACGAGCAGGGGCTCAAGCCTGTCTGGTGTTGCGTCGACAAGACGACAGAGAAGTGCCTGGCTGAGGACCACGGATGGGCTGCCGTCGTCGCCGTTGCTGAGGAGCGCATCAACCCGACTGAGGTTGATCCGGTCGAGAACGACAAGACCGTGCGCCGCAAGGTCCACCGCGCGGAGCGCGAGGGCGTCAAAATCATCGAGGTCGGTCAGGAGATGGATCCACACGTGAAGGCCCAGCTCGAGGAGCGTTGCCGGGAGTGGGCGGCGAACCGCAAGGGCACTCAGATCCACCTTACAGGAGTGCGCCCGTTCGACGACATGAAGCACCGGAAGTACTTCTACGCTCTCGACAAGGACGGCAAGGTACGCATCTCTCTTTATGGTGTTCTGAGCGGATATGTAAAGCTCCACACCTGTTAGCCCTGCGCCATGGTCGTCCTAGCGCAGCTCGCACCCAAGCATGGCTTCCAGATCAAGTGGGCGCTGGAGTTCCCGGGGGCCCCGCTGGGAGCAATCGAGTACATCCTCACCTACGTCATCAAGAAGCTCGGCGATGCCGGCGTAAAGTCCGCCACATTTGGTGCGGGAGCCATCGACAAGCTGCACCCGGCCGACAACGTGCATGGCTTCAGGATCAAGACGCTCGAGAAGGCGTACAATGGCCTGTCATCGACGTTCAACCTCACGGGCAAGGGAGACTTCCGGAGCAAGTTCGGGACGTGGCAGGACCCGGTGAGTAGCTTGCTGCTGTTACTGATTTTGCGCGATCGTGCTCAACGGCTTCTTTTCGCAGTTGTACATCTGCTACCCGAAGGGCGGTCTGGGTGTGAAGGGCATCGAGGCTATCATGACCATGCTCCAGAAGCCGAAGTGATCCCTCGGCAACCCTGCACAGCGAATCGACCCTCCATAATGCTCTCTGACTACGCCTGGCACCTCATCTACAGTTGGCTACCGTGCGCTCACCGGCCATTCCTTTCGTTCGTCCGTTTGTTCACATCTGTGATTCCCCGCTTGCTGTACCGCTTCTCACCACTCACTCATACACTGATTGGTCTCCTCGCGTTCCGTACCACCCGCGGGACTTGTACTTGGTTCTTGTAATGGTTGGTCCTGTTACGGCCTGCTACGTTCTGCTACGTATCATACTTGTACGACATGCTCCACTCCGCCCACACGTAGTCGAGATGGGCCATATTCCGGGACTGTGCGATATTGTTTTGCTCCGCCTGTTTGCAAGCTCGCTATCTCGCGGGCACCCGTAGAGTATATGCATATTCCTGTAATGTCTTGGAATGTATCATCAACATATATTTTGTCTGGTTATACGGAACTCGGTACGGATGGCGAGGGCGCCGGCTTTAGAAGGGCTGAGAGGGCGACATCATCCAGCCCGGGTACCCTGTATGGGACCGGTCCACTAGTCTGAGCAGCTCGAAGAGCTGTTATGCTTCCCGCGACGTGCCGGTGACGAAGCC